CACAATAGCTAAGAGATGGAAGCAACCTAAGTGTCCCTCAATTGACGAGGGACACATCATTTATATGATGGAGTTTTATTCAGCAGTAAAGAAAGATGAGATCATGAAATTTGTAGGTAAATGGATGGAACTAGAAACTGTTATACGAAGTAACACAGACTCAGAAAAAAAAAAATCGACGTATGTTCTCCCTCATTATGTGGATCCTAGAACCAAACCATGATAAGTGAGTATGTATCCAGACATAACTACAGGAACTAGGATAATGGAAAGGAACCAGGGAGGCAAAGGAAAAGAAAGAACCTGAAAGAGAAGAACAGTAGGAAACAGGTCTTAATAAGGGAGATATGGATAAAAGTTGGGTTAGTTTAAGGGAGGGGGGAGGGAAGGGTATACAAGGAACCTAGGGGATAAAGGGAAAGAAGGAGCTCTTTCTTCTATACAATACAGCTTTCAAAATAGGAATAGCACCTGTTAGCCCTCTGCCCCTCAAATAAAAGTTCTTTCATTGTGTTGAGCCACGAAATCATCACAACATATTGGTTTCTGGGAAAATCCAAACAAAACACAACTCCATGCAAATCTGTTTATCCACCTGTATTCCTTGGCATAGTGAATGGAACACGCTACAGCTTTGGAGGGTCATCCAAAGCAGAAACCTTGCAGTCATCTAAGACGCCTCCTCCTAAATGCCTTTTACAACTGAAGCTCGACACACTAAGTACTGCTTATTGTAACTCAAAATAGACTCTCAAATTAGGCAGAGGAGAAGACTCAGTAGGTTAAGAGTTCTTGCTGGGTTAAGCACTGGGACTTGAGTTGAATCTCTGGCACTGACAAAAGCCAGTGATGGCCGAAGATGCCTGTATCCCCAGTGTTGTGGGATGGAGACAGGCAGATACTAGAAGCTTGCTGGTCAATCAGTCTAGTCAAAAGGGCAAGCTTCAGGTTCAGTGAGAAACCCTGTCTCAAAGGAACAAGATAGAGAGCGACAGAGGAAGAAACCCAAGGTTCTCCTCCTGCCTCTGCAGGTGTGCACATGGGTGTGTGCGCCCTCCCCCCACATATGCACATGTATGTACACACCACACATGCACCACACCATAAGCACACACACAACAGCAGCAGCAACAACTTCAATTACTGTCAGGGTATCATTATTCAAATTCCAAATCTCAGATCTGGCTTGTTTAATCTCAGAGCCTCTATGTAAACCTGTTGTCCCTACTTTCAACTCTGCAACAGTCCTACCACCTCTACATGCACACGTGTAAGTTTGTGGATGCATGTGTACATGGACTCTCCTAGCTTAGCCTTTTTTCCTTTGGAAACCTAATCCATCTTTACAGTTTCCAGAAATAACTCCCTAGAATAACAAATTGTGCAATTTCAATACTCACTTCTTTTATGCCTCTGCACTGTTTCTCAGGTAGAGTCCTTGCCCTTTGACTACTTCTTCATATACTTGATGCACATATGCATATGATACACATCGAGTAGCCAACTTCAGCAGGCACCAAGGCAGTTCCAGACGTGCTGTGCTGGGTCTAACTCTGTAGTCAACATATGCTGCTCCTCCTACATGGGATGCTCTTGCTTGTTTTCTTCCTTAACTCCTCAAGAAGCCTTTCCTTCTCTGTCTCCACTGGATTAATGCTATGCATTTCTGTCAATGTTTATCTCGACTATATTCTTATGAGCATTTGGAGATTTTTAAAAGCTGGTTTTAAAAAATTGTCACACAAAGTAATAGGTTTCTTCATGGCATTTCATACCTACTTTGTTTTTGTTCTGATAACAGTATTTATTCATTTTAAAACGTTATTTTTGGTGGGGGGAGGGCAGCTTTTTGATACAGGGTCTCATTGGAGCCCAGGCAGGTCTCAAACTCACTATATGTAGTTGAGGATGACCCTGAACTTCTGAGCTTCCTGTCTCTACCTGCTGAGAGCTGGGATTACAAGCCTGCACCACCACACCCAGCTTACCTTGACTGTATTCTAAATGTTCAGTCTTCCTCATTTCCACAGGATCTCTGGATACAAGTACTCTATCATCAGGAGAATAAAAGATAAGAACTACCATAAAACATAATTTCAACAAACGTGTATTGAATACTGTAGAAGGAGACATTCAGCAATGCTGGGGTAATACCCCAGTGCCTGGCAAGTTTGGTAGGCTGTGCACCTCACTGGTACGCCACACTGCGCTGCTCTCAGTCTGAGTGTGCTGCCCATCTCTTTAACTGGTGTGTGCTGCAGTGCTCCTATCCACAATAGACTACTTTATGGTACTTATCCTTTGACGCAGAAGAAAACTGTCTTGCTACTTTCTAAGGATAAAACAGTAG